TTTTTATTTATTATTAGCATATTCATTCTTACAAATCATGATATTTCTTTATGCCCTTTGCTTGACCTATCACTTCCCAAACCCCATCTCTCCCTGCCCCCATCTCTAGTATCCTTAGGTTTTCTCCATTAAGAGAATTTTTAAAAATCCTAACTTTATTTGTGTTGAGAGCCCAGAAACTCTAGAAAGAAACTTATTTTAATTAGAGAGATATAAAATAGTTAGCTAGTTTTTAGGTTACAAGTGGTGAGTACTTTTTTGGAATCCTGAGATTTGTTTTTTCTAACATGCATAGATAGCTTTGACAAATTCTCTTCTGATTATACAAATAAGTTACTGAGTTTTTTAAAAAAACGATGATTCATTTCGTATTGAAATGCACATTGGAATTTTTCTAAAATTATTTTGCCTTACTTGTGTTTTAGTATATTGGTCTTTTTCAGATTAACGATATTTTTTTCTAGAATTAAAATTATAAGAATATGTTTATTTAAGACAGGCAAAGAATGAGTAAATATTTAACCTAGAACACATGATTTGTTCATTTAAAAAATTTAGTGATCTTTATCATTTTTCTTAATAGCATGTCAGAATTAAGCTATGTTGAAATGGTAAAATGCACTTAAAATTGTAAAGCAAATACTTCTGTTAAAAATAAAACAAAACAAAACAAATCAAAACACAACACCTTCTCTCCTCCTTTTCCCCTTAAAGTTGGTAGGTTGGTAGTTTGGGTTTAGCTGGCATTCTTATAACGTGCTATGGGTTGAATGTTTTGCCCAAAGGTTCATGTGTTGGGAACTTAATCTCCACTGTAACTGTGTTAAGACAGTGGGGAATCCTATTATAGTAATTGAAAGGTAGAGCCTTTAAGAGGTGATTGGATTGTGAGGACTGAATGGATTAATCCATTCTCAGATTGGAGACTCTAACAAGAACTATTTCTTTGCTCCTAACTTGGCTCCATATACATGAAGAAGAGTTTTACATATAGAAGCAGAAATG